CCAAACCGCATTTTTTAATTAAAAAAAAACATTAAAATATTCAGGCTTCGCTCCCCTCCCTGTGGGTTTGGGCTCGGGGTTGGTGTCACCGGGGCTGGGAATTGTTTTTGTCCTGGTTCCTCTCAGCTCTGCTGGAGGCAGCAGGGAAAAATTGTGCTTTTTTGGGTTATTTCAGGGAAAAATTGTGCTTTTTTGGGGTTATTTCAGGGAAAAATTGTCCTTTTTGGGGTTATTTCACAGAAAAGTTGCCCTTTTTTGGGAGTTATTTCAGGGACAAATTGCCTTTTTTTGGGGTTTATTTCAGGGACAAATCATCCTTTTTGGGGGTTATTTCATGGACAAGTTGCCCTTTTTTGGGGTTATTTCAGACCAAAATTGTCCTCTTTTTTTTGATAATTTCAGGGGAAATTTGTCCTTTTTTGGGGTTATTTTTTGTCATGGTGACACAACGAAGGGACTGAGCAGAATTTCAGCGATTTTAAAAAAATCAATTCTTGTTTTTTCCGAGGATTTTTTTGTCACTCCATGGGGGACGAGGAGTTGAGTCACGGCTGCAGGAAGAGGATTTTTGTCCCCTGAGCCTGTCCCCAGTGCCACCACCCAGCCCGGTCACCTGCGAGTCACCGGAGCCGCATTCCCAGGGCAGGTGACAACCTCGGGGACAGAGGTGACAAAAAGATCCCGGAGCTGATAAAATCCATCCAGCCCGAAATTCGATCCTGATCTAACGTGGAGTGAAAAACTAAAAAAATCTGGAATTAATTTCTTTAAATCAMTGAAATTCTGCTCAGCACCTCCGTGAGTTCATCGTGACACAAAAAAAGGCCAAAAAAGGATAATTTAGTCCATGAAATAACCCCAAAAAAGGATGTTTTGTCCCTGAAATAACCCAAAAAAGCTCAATTTGTCCCTGCTGGCTCCAGCAGAGCTGAGAGGAACCAGGACAAAAACAATTCCCAGCCCCGGTGACACCAACGCCGAGCCCAAACCCACAGGGAGGGGAGCAAAGCCTGAATATTTTAATTTATTTTAATTTAAAAATGCAGTTTGGGGTGAACTCAGAGAAACAGCCCCGCCCCGGTGGTTTTTGCGGGCAGGAGAAAGGGCCCGGAATAATTCGGGAATGAAAATGAAGGAGGAAGTTCGGGAGTTCCGGGGTGATTTTGTTCCACAAGGGGGAAAAAATAAGGAGGGCGAATTCCTCCCGAATTTATTCTGGAATTCTCCATCGGGAATAAATCCGGGAATTAATCCAGACCCTCCCTGATGATTCCAGGGAGAGCTGAGGGTGACCAGGAGAGCTCCAATGACACCAACTCCAAGCTGGAACCTCAGGGAGGGGAGAAAATTGGAGTTTTTTTATTAAAAAATCGAATATTTTTATGGAAAATGAGCTGCACCCATCCCAGGGGGGGATTGGTTTCTGTGGTTTTCCTCAGCAGAAACAAATTCCTGCTCAAAGCCCGGGCAAAAACCCCGAAAATCTGGGAATTGTGGGGTGGGTGAAGAGCTCTGCCAAGTCCAACACTGGAGATGGAGAATCCCATGGAAAACCCATCCCAAATCCAAACTTGATATAAATAATGGGAAAATCCATCCCAAATCCAATCCTGACACAAATCCTGATAAAACCCCATCCCAAATCGAATCCTGACATAAATCCTGATAAAAATCCCATCCCAAATCCAACCCTGACATAAATAATTGGAAAACCCCATCCCAAAACCAACCCCGGAGCTGGAGAATCCCATGGAAAACCCATCCCAAATCCAACTCCAACGTAAATTCTGATAAAACCCCATCCCAAATCCAACCCTAACATAAATCCTGGGAAAACCCATCCCAAATCCAGCCCAAATATAAATCCTGGGAAAATCCAACCCTGACATAAATAATGGGAAAATCCATCCCAAATCCAATCCCAGTGTAAATCCTCATAAAACCCCATCCCAAATCTAACCTTGAGATAAATGGGAAAGCCCATCCCAAATCACACCCTGTAATAAATCCTAATAAAATCCATCCCAAATCCAACTTTGATATAAATAATGGGAAAATCCATCCCAAATCCAATCCCAACGTAAATCCTGATAAAACCCCATCCCAAATCCAATCCCGACACAAATCCTGATAAAACCCCATCCCAAATCCAGCCCCGACACAAATCCTAATAAAATCCCATCCCAAATCCAAACCTGATATAAATAATGGGAAAACCCCATCCCAAATCAAGCCCCCATAAAAATCCTGATAAAACCCCATCCCAAATCCAACCTCGACACAAATCCTAATAAAACCCCATCCCAAATGCAACCCTGTAATAAATCCTAATAAAACCCCATCCTAAATCCAGCCCCGACACAAATCCTGATAAAACCCCATCCCCATGAGACCATTCCCGAATCCCCTGCCAGAGCCGTTCCCACACATCCAGGACTCTGCTCCCCAAAAAAACACCCCGGGGCCAGGGCCGGCTGCTCGGGATGCCACGGAAGCGTCCCGTGCCGTGCCGGGCGGGATTATCCCGGGATAATTAGTCGGASTCTGGGAAGCTGCCACGGAACCGGTGATTGCAGCGATGAGTCGGCRGCCGCGACTCAATCCCGAGGCACCGCGGTTCCCGTGGCCCTATAAAAGCTGTCCCGGAGTCGGGATGCGCCGGTCACCTCTGGAAAATC